AGAAATCAAAGAGGAAATAAAAAAATACCTAGAAACAAATGACAATGAAAACACAACAACTCAAAACCTATGGGATGCAGTAAAAAACAGTGCTAAGAGGGAAGTTCATAGCAATATGAACCTACCTCAAAAATCAAGAAAAATATCAAATAAACAACCTAATCTTACACCTAAAGCAACTAGAAAAAGAAGAACAAAAATTCCAAAGTTAGTAGAAGGACAGAAACACAAAGATCAGAGTAGAAATAAATGAAATAGAGACAAATAAAACAAATGCAAAGATGAATAAAACTAAAAAGTTCATCCTTTGAAAAGATAAACTTTAAATAAAAAATAAACTGATAAATCTTTAACCAGACTCATCAAGAAAAAAAGATGACTTAATTCAATAAAATTAGAAATGAAAACAGAGAAGTTACAACAGACAACCAGAAATACAAAGGATCATAACAGACAAGAGACTACTAGAAGTGAGTATATGCCAATTAAATGGACAACCTGGAGGAAATGGACAAATTCTCAGAAAAGTAAAACCTTCCAAGACTCAACCAGGAAGAAATAGAAAATATGAAGAGACCAATCACAAGCACTGAAATGGAAACTGTGATAAAAAAAAATCTTCCAACAAACAGAAGCCTAGGGCCAGATGTCTTCACAAGCAAATTCTGTCAAATATTAGAGAAGTGCTAATACCTATCCTTCTCAAACTCTTCCAAAAGAGGGAGGAAAACTCCCAAACTTATTATAAGAAGCCATCATCACCCTGATATCAATACTGAAGATATCTCACAAAAAGAAAATTATGGGCCAATATCTCTGATGAACAACCAGCCTCAACAAAAAACTAGCAAACAGAATCCAAACACATTAAAAGGATCATACACCATGATCAAGTGAGGTTTATCCCAGGGATGCAAGGATTCTTTAACATACACAAATCAATCAATGTGATACACTGTATTAAAAAATTGAAATATAAAAATAATATGATCATTTCAATAGATGTAGGAAAAGTTCCAACAAGATTCAATACCCATTTATGATAAAAACTCTCCAGAAAGTAGGCATAGAAGGAACCTACCTCAACATAATAAAGGCCATATATGACAAACCCAGAGCAAACATTCTTAATGGTGAAAGAGTGAAAGCATTTCTTCTAAGATCAAGAACAAGACAAGGATGCCCACTCTTGCCACTATTATTTAGTATTGTTTTGGAAGTCCTAGCCATGGCAATCACAGAAAAAGAAAAAAAAAAGAAATAAAAGGAATCCAGACTGGTAAAGAAGTAAAACTCCCACTGTTTGCAAATAACATGATACATACACAGAACACTCTAAAGATGCCACCAGAAAATTACTAGAACTAATCAATGAATTTAGTAAAGTCTCAGGATACAAAATTAATACACAGAAATCCCTTGCATTCCTATACATTAACAACAAAAAGTCAGAAAGAGAATTAAGGAAACAATCCTGAAAAGACAACCCTCAAAAGAGAAAATAATTGCAAACAAAGCAACTGACAAAAGATTAATCTCCAAAATAACAGTTATAGCAGCTCAATATCAGAAAAACAACCCAGTCAAAAAACGGGTGGAACACCTAAACAAACATTTCTCCAAAGAAGCCATTTCTCCAAAGATGGCCAACAAACACATGAAAAGATGTTCAACATTGCCCATTATTAGAGAAATGCAAATCAAAATTACATTGAGGTATCACCTCATGATGGTCAGAATGGCCATCATCAAAAAATCTACAAACAGTAAATGCTAGAGAGGATGTGGAGAAAAGGAAATCCTCCTGCAATGTTGATGGGTATGTAAATTGATACAGTCACTATGGAGAGCAGTATGAAGATGCCTTAAAAAATGAGGAATAAAACTACCATATGACCCAGCAATTCTACTGCTGGGCATCTACTCTGAGAAAACCATAATTCAAAAAGACACATGTACCCCAGTGTTCATGGCAGCACTATTTATAATAGCCAGGACACTGAAGCAAGCTAGATGTCCATCAACAGATGAATCAACAAAGAAGCTGTGGTACATATCCACGATGGAATATTATTCAGCCATAAAAGGAATGAATTGAGTGAGGTGGATGAACCTAAGCGCCTGTTGTACAGAGTAAAGTCTCAGCAAGAGAAAAACAAATATCATACATTAATATACATAAATGGAATCTAGAAAAGTGGTACTGATGAACTTATTTTCAGGGAAAAAATAGAGATGCTGACATAGAGAACAGACTGGTGGATATAGGTGGGGAAGGAGAAGAGGAGGTGCAGAGATAAGAGCAGCACTGACATACACACAGTACCATGTGCAAAACAGCCAGTGGGAAGCTCAGCTTGGTGCTTCGTGACAACCTGGAGGGGTGGGATGAGGGAAGTAGGAGGGAGGCTGAGTCACGCTGCTGTATCGCAGAAACCAACACAACACTGTAAAGCAATGATCCTCCAGTTAGAAACGTATAAAGTGTATTTTAAAAAGGAATGATGATTTCAATGGAATACAATCTATTGCGTAGAATAAAATTCCATGAGCCACCCTCATGTAAATACATAGATGACTACAGTTTATCAAGCATTCGTAGTTGTTTTTAGTGGGAGGTATCCATTTAATCATACTGGTGAAAATGGAACTTTTTACAATCCATTTTGAAGATCTAAAACATATACCACTATGCATTTACACATAGTATGAACTTAATAAATATTTGTAGAGTCTAGGAATATATAATAACCAAAATAAAGCGAATGATATTACATTTACTTAATGTTCTGACCTGCCTCCTGAGAAATCTGTATGCAGGTTAAGAAGCAACAGTTAGAACTGGACATGGAACAACAGACTGGTTCCAAGCTGGGAAAGGAGTATGTCAAGGCTGTATATTGTCACCCTGCTTGATTAACTTATAAGAAGAGTACATCATGAGAAATGCTGGACTGGATGAAGCACAAGCTGGAATCAAGATTGCTGGGAGAAATAGCAATAACCTCAGATATGCAGATGACATCACTTATGGCAGAAAGCCAAGAAGAACTAAACAGCCTCTTGTTGAAAGTGAAAGAGGAGAGTGAAAAAGTTAGCTTAAAGCTCAACATTCAGAAAACTAAGATCATGGCATCTGGTCCCATCACTTCATAGCAAATTAGATGGGAAAACAATGGAAACAGTGACAGACTTTATTTTGGGGGGCTCCGAAATCACTGCAGATGGTGACTGCAGCCATGAAATTAAAAGACACTTGCTTCTTGGAAGAAAAGTTATGACCAACCTAGGCAGCATATTAAAAAGAAGAGACATTACTTTGCCAACAAGGTCTGTCTAGTCAAAGCTATGGTTTTTCCAGTAGTCATGTATGGATGTAAGAGTTGGACTATAAAGAAAGCTGAGTGCCGAATAATTGATGCTTTTGAACTATGGTGTTGGTGAAGACTCTTGAGAGTCTCTTGGACAGCAAGGAGATCCAACCAGTCCATCCTAAAGGAAATCAGTCCTGAATATTCATTGGAAGGACTGATGCTGAAGCTGAAACTCCAATACTTTGGCCACCTGATGCGAAGAGCTGACTCATTGGAAAAGACCCTGATGCTGGGAAAGATTGAAGGCAGGAGGAGAAGGGGACGACAGAGGATGAGATGGTTGGATGGCATCACCGACTCAATGGACATAAGTTTGGGTAAACTCTGGGAGTTGGTGATGGACAGGGAGGCGTGGCATGCTGCAGTCCATGGGGTCGCAAAGAGTCGGACACAACTAAGCAACTGAACTGAACTGAATGTTCTTATTTTCAACACATTATCCTATTATTACATTTTACAATAAATGTTGAAATAATTGATTAAAAAAAAGAAAGAAAAGTGAGGAAATGACAATACAATAAATGGCACAAAGATGAAGTAAAGCACAATGGTAAAATACTTTATTTAGAAGGTCTGGAAAGATGGTGGCAAGTTGAAAAGGACAAAAATTATAGCAAAGAACTGAAAATAAACACTACCATGGAAAAACAAGGAAAGAAATCCCAATGATGTGGCCAAATTAAACAAAATCTAGAAAACTGTCCAAAGATATCATTTTTTTCTGGAAACTTACAACTGAGTGTACACACACACACAAACCCTGAGACTAACAGAAACAGCTGAGGTAAGACAAAAGACCAAGAGTGGCGAAACCAAAATTAAAGGGCTGGCGGCGGGTGAGAGACCCAGGAACCATTTGGAAGGCAGTCGAACCACAGCATGAACAACAATCACGAAGTAGCTGGGAACTGCCATTCAGGAATAACATCTTAAAAATTCAAAACATCTACTCTGAAAACAAAGAAAGATTCTGCCAATGACTGGGGGAAAAAATTCAGATGAACAGACAATAGTGATTCCTGATTTCAGCTCTTGCTGAGAGAAAAAAGAACTTAAGAAGAATCATGCAAAATGGAAAGAAATAGACTAATACCAGCTAAGTATCTAGCAAAGACAAATTTACAGCTAAATAGACAATTATATACTTGAATATATATGTTGGCAAATAGTAAAATGGTCTCAATTACTAGGTGTAATGATTAAACCTCTTCTTACTTTCCTAAGACTTGCTTCAAGATACCCATTTCAATAATTGCTCAAAAAATTCTTGCCTTTCAGCTGTTCTCATGACAGCTATCACACAACTTTCCTAAACACATCGAGAACACGAACTAGCTCAGACTTTACAGTCAGAGGCCTTAGATTTGATTCTTCATTTCCCATTATTATTATCACAGTTTTTAAGTTTTATTTCTAAATCTTCAAGCTGCAAATATGAGGCTTTAGCACTTTACATACTACTCTATTTATAGTTTTATTAGTGAATATAATTGTTTCTTAAAGTGCTGTTGTTTTAAAGGAGGACTAGGCTTTATATAATTAAGTATAATTCCAAGCATATAGTTCACCAATAGTCCCAAAGTGTACACTTACATATGGCAGGGCAAATACTCATTAAATACTCACTTCAACAGTTTCAATTCTTCCCTCATGCGGATGTGGTGTCCTTGGGTAGATATCAAGAAGATGTGGCGGTGAATCAAAGTGCAGTCTTTTGAGGTTTCTTTTACTAATATCTTTATAATTCAGTTCATCAAAGTTAGTCCTCCATAATAAGACCTATAAAATTAATCAAGTTGGCAGTTATTGATTTGCAACTACAAGTAGAAGAAGGAAATTTTTAAAAAATGAACATATAGAATAGGCTCTCAAAATAGTTAGGAAGGCTAGATATATATTCCCACAACATTATATCTCAATACTTTTTAAAAGGGTAATAGGAAGAGATTTCATATTCTGAATTTTCTTTATGTCCACCTTATTCAATAAATGTGGCTCTGAGTGACTTTTGGTCGTTTCAGATAAATACAGACTTGTCACAATTTAAATGTACCATACTCAAGAAGTTTAATCAACATTTGAAAAATAAAACACACAGACAATAGATTAGGAAACAATTCAAGTGAAAAGGCCCACACCAATATTAGGCATTCAGTGTTAGTTTTATGTATAAGTAAGTATAAAGATGAGCAAAAGAAAATAACTGCTATTTGAATTCCTAAAATGATCAGAACTGGCACCATTTCAGCTATGAGATAGCAGATTCCCTGGCACTAACTAAAATATAAATTCATTCATAATCATCTGAAATAGACAAACTAGCTGGTTGTAAAAATCTCAGCTGAGGTCTCAGATTCCATTTCCCCTAATCAAAACAAAGAGGGAGCAGAGAGCTTTACAAACCTGTGCATCTGCACCTCCTGATGTAAACAGCTCTCCACCTTTTGAAAATGAAACAGTGAAGACAGGCCCCTAAGAAATAAAGGGAGATAAAAGGAAAAAAAGCATTTGATAATGTGTTTCCGTGGCCAAGAAGGCTGTGAGTATTAATTTTTCATCCTAATTTGTGCAGACTATTTATGCAATAAGTCTGAGGACATATTCAGCTGCTAGCAACCAAGGCAGGCAAAGAGAATCAAAGCATCAACTCAGTTATCTGAAGACATCTATAAACAATACTGAGAAAGAGATACTAATAAAAATGAGAAAATACAGTTTTCTTCCCTTTAAAGAAGTTTGTGCATAGGTCAGTGAGTAAGAATTTCTTCTGTTAAAATTTTCTGGCTTCGGAATCTTATTCAACAAACCACTAGCAGAAGCTGGATGATAACCTGTAGGTGATAGGAATGAGGCTGTAGGAAGAGAAGTCACTTCCTGAGCCCCACATGCTTCACCGAGTTCTTCACGGGGGCAACAGCGAGCCACGTAAAGTTCTCAGAGCAGGACACAGAGAGGAGAAGAGCTGGGACTGCTGACAACTGATACCACGGCTGTGAGAATGATGAGCTGGAGTTTGAACGAACAGTTGGAAGCCACTTAGGAAGTATACTGCAGTTATCAGGGTGGGAGGTAACAGGAAAGTGAGCGTGGTAAGCAACGGCTGCGGCGCTGGACGGCTCTTGGCACAGTCACAGAATGACCTCTGGGTCAGCTTTTAGTCAAGAGGATTCATTTCTCATCTCAGAAATGCTAGTATACTGTTTGTTTTTTAATAAGTCAGTAATAAGTTCCATTCCATACAATGGAAACAGTGAGAAACTTTATTTTGCGGGGGCTCCAAAATTACAGCAGATGGTGACTGCAGCCATGAAATTAAAAGATGCTTGCTCTTTGGAAGAAAAGCTATGTCCAACCTAGACAGTTTATTAAAAAGCAGAGAAATTACTTTGCCAACACAGGTCCGTCTAGTCAAAGCTATGGTTTTTCCAGTAGTCACGTATGGATGTGAGAATTGGACTATAAAGAAAGCTGAGCACCGAAGAACTGATGCTTTTGAACTGTGGTGTTGGAGAAGACTCTTGAGGGTCCCTTGGACTGCAAGGAGATCCAACCAGTCCATCCTAAAGGAGATCAGTCCTGGGTGTTCATTGGAAGGACTGATGCTGAAGCTGAAACTTCAATACTTTGGCCACCTGATGCGAAGATGTGACTCACTGGAAAAGATCCTGATGCTGGGAAAGATTGAGGGCAGGAGGAGAAGGGGATGACAGAGGATGAAATGGTTGGATGGCATCACTGACTCAATGGACATGAGTCTGAGTAAGCTCCAGGAGTTTGTGATGGACAAGGAAGCCTGGGGTGTTGCAGTCCATGGGTTTGCAAAGAGCCAAACACAACTGAGCAACTGAACTGAACGGAATCTATACATGAAAATTTATGGGGAAAAGCCTCTTATATCTTTCACGTAGACCAGCCCACAGTCTCAGGTTAACACCTCATAAATACCTTCACCTCCAGACTGAAAATTTCCATCTTCGTGTATAGTGCTTTTCTCCTAAATTATTTTATTTACCTTTTTTTCCAGTACTCAGTCCTTCTTCCATGGATATTTTAATCCATGGCCACGTTTATTGGTTGTTAATCCAGCCCAAATCCATGGGTACACATATATCTGAGCTGGTTAATTGTCTGTTTCTGCTTCCCTCTAACACAGCTGTGAAACAAATGATAAAGCAAGCAGGAAGTCCAGCAGGATACAAGAAGACAGAAAAAGAAAACTTCTCCCCTAGACCACAAAGCCCATTCTATTTCTGGATATAAATCGCTTATATTTGGTTAAAAGGAAGTACCTAGTACATCTTATTAAAAAAAAAAGGGGGGGGGATGTATTCTAAAAAATTTAGAGAAGTTTGAACATTTACCCAGAAAAGAAGAATAGTTTTTACACTTAAAAAAGTTTTCCTTTGGAATATTATACATCAGTATGTGCATGTGTGTCTGAGTGAACAGGCTCCATAAACAGCACCCCGTTTCCCCACTGAATTTCTAAACTAACTAAAAAATAAGACAAAGAAATACTATCTTTCTTACTGATGAGGGCTTGTAAAGAGAGAACATGGCTTCATCTGTGGGCAAACAGGCTTTCTAGACCTGAAACCCAGAATGAGTCACACTTGAGTACCCCGTCACAGGCAAGACTGGACAAGGGCTGGCCTCCCCACAAGAAATGCCAGAGGAAAGCCATGAGCACAGGCTCCTAAGAGCTGAGGGCATTAGGCTCGACTTGTCAAGTTTCTCCTTCTAAACTCACCCATCAATTTAGTGGAAGACGAGAGTGAAAGAGTGGGGAGGCTGAGAGGGTCAGAGCTGGCATGTGAGGGGAAAGAGCAGAAGTCAGAAAAACACGTATCTGTCACCATTTAACCAGTCAGACCCATACTACATACTGAGGAAGACAGCCATGGAGGGTTACGTTACGGGGCATTGAAAGATACACATTGATTTTGACAAGAACTACAATAATATTTCGAAGAGCTGCTTCCAGAGAATGAAAACACAGCCTTGCAAGCAAAAAAAAAACAAAAAAAATTTGTAATAGCAGCCATGTGTAGTACACTTGGGAAAGTAATACAGCCATATAATAAGGTGGATCAGAGCTAAAGCAAATATCTTAGGGTTCACACCGTATGTCCTTGAAGTGTGTATATAAGCCTTCCTTCTAAGAGGTCCAGGATCTTCAGCGTACCATCTGAAGAAGCAGTGATGAGATAGTTACCCGAAGGATGGAACGACAGACAATTAACTCCACCGCTGTGAACTGATTTGTGGAAAATAAAAGCAAAAAATTCAGAGAATAATTCTTAATTCTAAAGATGCCCCTTTACCATACTAGCAATATTAGGTTGAAAGCAAGAATCAATTAGAGGTAATGTCTCCATAGCACCAAAACTCTACATAGCTCACTAAGACAAATAAGTAGTGCGGCATCAAACAGCTTAAGCTTCCAGTTCATGAGACAGAAAAACTTTACAAATGAGAATCTGTCAAGGAAAGATGGTCTTATTAACTACCTAACTATAAAATCTTTGGATATAGTGCCAATATAAATAACCATTATCTACCACCAGTTCACGTAACGTATACATCCTAGCCTTAAACTAAATTTAATAACCAGTTAGTTGCTTGGGACAAGGCGAAGAGTATGGAGATGTCTTTGGAGAAGGGCAGCCCCGTGCCAGTTTGAGAATTCATTTCTGGACACCTTCCTTCCAACAGGAGGCAGTATAACATAGCGATCAAAAGTTTGTTAATCACTGTACTTTGTAAAAGCGTACTTTGTAAACAGAAAAGACCTATGTCAGTCCGAGCAATATTTTAGCAAGTTACATAGGCTCTTTCAGCCTCAATTTCCTTGCCTTTAAAGTGGAGGTAACAGTAATACCTCTGAGGGCTGATGTGAGAACTTAGCACAGTGTCTGCTACATTATGTTTATTAAGGAATGGAAATTTGGATTTAATATAAATCTAATACACATTAAGAAATCAATTCATTTCTCTTTTAACTTCAATAGACAGGCACAGTAGGATGTTGTTTTCTGCCAGTTATAACACCTATTTGTGCTCAGGTATCTCCTTCTGAGTCAATTTTAATCCTGGATTCTTATACAAAGCAGATAACCAAAGTCTGAAAATCTTATAGTAACTTTTTTATTTTCTTTTTCCTTTTTTTTTTTTTTAACAGCTCTGGCATCATTTTTAAGGTCCATCCACCTCCCTCTGCAGGCTGGCACCTACCCCAGCTCCTTGGACCATGCTGCTGATGGCGGCTAACTTTTCTCTGAGCAGTCCATCACACTCAGTAACAGGGCCAAGCCACACTGAGAATAGTTTCTGCCAGTGTAAGAGAAGCTCACTGTACAATTCAGTTCTGTTATGGGAATCCTTACCTTGATAATGCTGGAGTAACTTGTTCACTCTTATATCCCAGATTTTCACAGTATGGTCAGAACCTGCTGAAGCTATGCATGTACCATTAGGGTTAAAAGCCACAAAATTTGCAAACCTGGGAGGGAGGAATAAGATGGTCTCATATTTCAATTTCTCTTTCTTTACTTGAATTGTAAACAATTAAATGTCTCCTTAGCATACTAACCCATAAAAATTCAAAAAGAGAAATGGACTTACCCTACGAAATCTGAGAAGTTGTTGACACACTGCTTATTTGTGGTATCCCAGATTTTAATAGTTTTATCCTCACTGCATGATACAATTAGCCTGCCATCAGGTGAAAACCTGGAGAGCATAAGAAAGATTATTCTTGTGGAAGGCTCCTGACAATCACAGTCAACTCTGCCATGACACGCAACTCAGGCTATATGCATTAAATGATACCACAGCATGCAGCAGAATCATGTTCTGCTACCAACATCTTTCCAACTGAAAATAACACAATGAATGACATTAATAAACCATTAAAAAAGATCACAATATACTATATAGACTAACCAAGTTTCTCTTAACCTTTTATTCTTTAATTTAAATGATTTATTTTATGGTACCTGTTCTAGGTCTGCACTGCTTCCAAGTCAAATATCTTATGCTTTTTTTTTTTTTAAAGTATTCTCTATTTCTGTCATTTTCTGGTATTATCCATATGACCCAAGACAGTCTCTATTACTCATCTTACCAACCCTGCAGTGAAGCTCTTTGTAAGAAAAGGACTGGTATCTTAAGAATTAAAATTGAATGCTATCATCAATAGGGGCTTCACTGGTGGCTCAGTTGGTAAAGAATCAGCCTGCAATGTGAGAGACCTGGGTTCGATCCCTGGGTCGGGAAGACCCCCTGGAGAAGGAAATAACAACCGACTCTAGTATTCTTGTCTGGAGAATTCCATGTATAGGGGAGCCTGGTAGGCTACAAAATGTGTCCATGGGGGTCACAAAATGTTGGACACGACTGAGTGACTATCTTTATCATCAACAGGAGAACAGATTCCCCAAATCTGTAACTTCCTGGATAAGGGGAGGCCAGAGAGCTTCAATGGACTGAAAATAGGACAACTCAGTGATACAAAACTGAAGTTCCTTCATGGACACACCTACTATCCACACACCCCATTAAAAAACAAAATGAGAAAATTCTCAAACATCTTGTCTACTGCTTTTGTATTCTCTTTCCCTTTAAGATCCTTCCCAAGGTTGCTTTTCTGCCTTAAGTGCCTTTTTAAAATGGAGACAGAAGAGCAGAAGATCAAAAAGAAAGTGAAAACTATCAGGAAACTATGAATACTAATTCTGCCATTAATACTTTAGCAATAACAAAACCCAAAAAAGACAGATTTAGGTCACAGACCAATTACGTTTCAATTTTATTTGTAGTTTCCCTCTCTGCCCAGATTACTATGAAAGTCTTCAACTAAGTAAGGGTGTGGATTATAATTGAAAGCTTTTCTTTTTGTTCTCTCACCATCCCCTCCTCCCAACTCCTGTTCTTAAGGCTGGCCTAAAAATAATTCTTCCTAACAGAAACTTTCAATCTAGAGTTTATGAATTCACCATATTTTAAAAAGAACAGAGATGCATAATTAAATTCTATGTGAAATAGTCTTTAAAAATTCAAAGAAATAACTTGAAAGGAAATATCTCCCACACTGAGCAGTTCAGCTTGATTTTGTAATAACGTACTAATCTTTTCCTTTAGAAAATATGTGAGGAAGATTCAGATATGAATGACAGTATTATAGAAACACTCCAAAGAGATGAAACTTATTTTGTATAGATTCTGGAGCAGAAAAACCTATTCAGTATCCCAGTGACAATAACCTTTGCATAAAATTATAAATAATTAATACAAGAAATCAAAGTGTGTTTCTTAAAATGCTATCTTTTAAAAAAATTACTTAATGTGAACATTTAAAATTTTATTTTTAAGAGATGACTCAGTTCTTACATTTTAAGAAAGCAATGATGAAACATGTAATAAAACGGAAGGATTAGGTGAAAGCCGAGTACAAAGGACAAACTCACGCTATGACATTATTGGCCAAATACAACCACTGCCCCCACCACAACTACTACCATCCTCATTTATCCTGCCAACATTAACTGAGCATCTATGTGCTAGAATGGTTCTTAACACTACTTATGACAACTCATTTAATTCTCAAAATAACCCTACCAAACAAGGGCTACTGCTGGCCTCAATTTACAGATGAATCAACCAGGGCGTGTAAAGGCACAGGAAGCTGCCAGTAACACAGCCAGGAAGATGTGACCTAGGAAGTCTGGCTCCAGGGCCAAACCGCTTGGCTGCTCTGCTGAAGACTCCGACAGAAAGGAACGTTTCTCTTACTGGCCAGAGTGGAGCACAGGAAGTTCTGTGTGGCTTCTCTGTGACCACAGAAAGTTCTAAAGTGGAAGCAAACCACAAGGCCATGCTCTTAGGAGGCTAAGTGCCTGGGTTCTGCTTGACAGGCTGACCACTTTTAATAAAATTCTGTGTGTGTCTGCCGCCGTGCCCCATCAGTGCCCTTGAGGAGTTTGTGGGAAAGATATTCATTCATTGATTCATTCAAATATCTACTGAGCACCTGCAGGAAGCAGGCACTGGGCACTGACCTGCGTTACAGGAATATCGTGGTGAGTGAGACCGATGAGACCCCTGCTTTCAGCAGGCTCTCATTCTAGGTGGGAGGGAAGGCACACAAATCATATAATTCTAGATAATGGTAAGAAAAACGTTTTTAACAAAAAGGTACCCATTAGTCACTAGAAGCTCCCCAGAAGAAACTTGTGAATTAGGAAAAGAATTTTATCTTAACTAGCCAGAAATTCATCCCGAGCAGCCGGAATTATAGCCTGGGTGAAATTTCCCGAGATGGAGAAATGAAATGAAGAGAATGTGAACTTCAGATAAGTGGGGAGTGGAGGAGCTGGCTGGGATGAGAGGAGCTGGTGCAGAGAGGATGCTTCTATCTCCAGCTCGTGGAGGCGGGGCTCAGGAGCCTGCTCTGGACACTGTATTACAAGCCCTGCATGGACTGTCTACAGGTTCTTTTTGTCTCTTGTGTGCACGCTGTCCCTCAGCCATGTCCAATTCTTTGCAGCCCCATGGACTACAGCCCACCAGGCTCCTCTGCCCATGGAATTTTCCAGGCAAGAGTATTGGAATGGAGGAATGGGGTGCCATTTCCTCCTCCAGGACATCTTCCCAACCTAAGGATCGAACCCACATCTCTTGCATCATCTGCATTGGCAGGCAGATTCTTTACCACTAGTGCCACTTGGGAAGCTTTTGTCTTTGGAAGGGTTGAAAGTGACAACGGCAATTTGGCCTTCTCCTCCCTTTTATTTTTAACTAGACACATCAGAGATACTTTAGCACTAATAAAAGAGGCTACTCTCTGCCCTGACTTTGACCACAAAATGACAGTCCTTTTTTTTTTTTTGAGGGCTCAAACAATACCTAACAGGGTTATTAATTTTAAGAATATTAAGAGGATATAAAATTTCTACTAAGACATTAACAAATTTCTAACTCTGTAATTCAATACCACCCAACCACCTTTTAAAACTTCCAGGTTGGGGGGATCGGGATGGGGAACACATGTAAATCCATGGCTGATTCATATCAATGTATGGCAAAAACCACTACAATATTGTAAAGTAATTAGCCTCCAACTAATAAAAGTAAATGGGAAAAAAAAAAAACTTTCAGCAAGCGTGTCACCAAGATAGATATTAGTCAATGGTGACTAATGGATCAGCAGATGTGAACTCTCTGTAAGGCATTTGAGAAGTTGACCACTTCTTATTCAATCCCTTAAAATGTACTTTGGAGAAAAGGAGGAAATTCTCAAGCTTTTTTCTAGAAAAACTGGTTCATATGTCCTTGAGAGTAGCCCAAGTTATATAATAGGAGTTCTTTAACTTTGAATCTATGGGGTTCCTAAAACTATATGTAAAACTGTACTCCATAAGAACAGTGATTGAGTTATTTCTTCATTAGTGAGTCAAACAGATCCGTGAACCCTGAGAAGTTTTAAAGTGCATTTATAAGAAATCAAAATTCTCATTTGGATAATTCTTATCATTAGACTAAATATTCTATAAAAAACCACTCTATACACACATGTACCAAACCACCACACTGTATACCTTACCCTTATACAAGGTTACATGTCATTCTATCTTAATAAAGCTGAGGGGAAAAGACAAGGGCACACATCTCCACCCCTGCCAGACACTTAGCTAGCTGGATGGAGGAAGGGATAAGCCTTCTGAGGTGAGACCTTGTGACTCAACTATCAGCCCTCCACCAGCAGAAGGAAACAGTTTAATTTGAAAGTTAGATAAGCAACATTTAGGAATTAGTTATCAGCCACACCCAAGGCTCCAACTGCCTGGGGGGTTTAAAAAAAAAGAATTTAAAATAAGGGAGGATAGAAAGGAAATAGTGGAAGAGAAGGAGAGAATGAAGAAAACATAGAAAGAAATATATTCTCAAAAACCAAACTTAAATTTCTGGCCCTCAGGGTTCTGAGACCAAAGTAGGCATTGTTCCATGTCTCTTAAGAAACAAATCATTAGTAAGTGGTACTCTGAAGCCAGCAGCTACTCAATAGGAGGGGAAAGCAGTGAAAAGAAGAATGCTTGGTCAGTACAGGGTTCTGAATTTTAGGCCATTTCTGCAGCTGCCCAGCTATGTAAGCTCATGAAGCTCCTAACCACCCTCGCCACTGTTTTCTGCCTGTTGAGAGAGTCTGAACTGCATTCAAGCCTGAAACTTTCATGTGGTGGTTTACTTGCTAAGTTGGGTCCGACTCTTGCAAAACTTTCATAGGCTCATTAAAAAAAAAAAAAAAAATTGGCAGCCTCAAAGTTTGCTTTGATGGGATTTGGGGTTTACATACTGAAGGTGGAGTTCAAGGCAATAAGGAAAACATTTATGTTTTTTAAGTGTTGGTCAGCATTAGAAGAGAAACCATCTGTTGGTCGCAGTGATAGAATTCATTCCTATAACTGCTGAGAGACAAAAAGCAGATGAAAGAGATGTAAAAAGATTTAGGTATACTGTGAAATGTGCTAATTATTGTTGGATCACTTACCATCTACACGCCCAGACTTCTCTCCTGGGATTTCCACCCATAAGGAGAACTGCCTAGTAAGCGCTTCCTCTTGGATACCCTGCAGGCACTCTGACTCTGTACTTGTCCCAGTCTGAACTCATCTTCCTCCCAAAACTCCAGTGTTCCTTTTCTCAATAAATGATTTCTCAAGCCAGAAACCTAG